GCTGCATCTATAAATCCCTACATAAGGAAATGTCATCCGGAGGAGCCACTTGGCCTTCAGATGGGAACACTGGACATGACGAGGGCTTTAGGGAGGAGAAGGTGCCACCTGCTGTGTGCCTGGGTTTTCCATCCATGAGAGACCGTGGGCATCACAGCCACTCCGTGAAGGGACTGCCTGGTTTTCCTCTTCCTGTCTGTCTCTCCATCTGTCTCTCTTCCTCTGTCTGTGTCTCTCTGTGTGTCTGTCTCTGTGTCCCTGTCTGTCTGCCTGACTCTGTTTCTCTCTCTCTCTCTCTCTCTCTCTGTGTCTCGTTTAGGGGCACATGGCAAGTCAGATTTAACCCTGGGCCTCTGGCTTGCAGGTCCCTGTTCATACATCAAGCCCCACTCGCCTCCTCTTCCCTGGGGGGCTCTTTTCCCTCCTCTCCCAACGGCAGCCTAGGTCTCCTGAGCCTGAAGTCTGCTGTCTGCACCGTGCACTGCCCTGTGCTTCCTGAGAGCGTGGGAGTCCCCGGCCTCTTTCCAGCCCATCCAGTGCCCACCTGTGTTAACTGGACCCAAAACCTCTGAGACCGTTCAATAGGGTGGTGGCTGGAAAACAGATCAGTACTTTTTTCCACTTTTAGACTGCAGCCTGGACAGAAATGCAAACGCCTTGTGTCCCGTGCTGTGCCAGGGTGCCCTGCCTTACAAAACAGACAGCTCTGGAGAAGCATGTGTAAATTTAATTTGGGGTAACACTGACTCATGTTAGGATCATTTGAGCCTCTTCACCTCGACTCCGATTGGCCTCCGAGGCAGCACCGACTCACCCTCCAGCTTAGATTGCCTTAGTGCCCTGCCTTCCAGACCAGTAGTTAATGATCTGTAAAAACACTTAAATTCATGGGGAAAACTCCTTCTTGAAAGGAGCAAGTGTGTTTGTAACTTACAGATTCCTTTTGTCCCATAATGAGGGAACTTCCTGGGAGCCTATCTGCTTGGAATCCTGGGAAGCGATATCTCGATTTTAAAAGTCCTCCACGATCAAAGCTTCCTTTAACAAAATCAAAGGATGCGTCTGGGTTGCTCTCCTGGAAGCTGGGGCAGTCAGAGCGGAGGGGCAGGTGAACGTGGTCCAGGTGTGCCCCCCAGGATGGATGCAGGTCAGGGAGATGTGGTCCAGGGTGCAGATGTCTGAGCCCCTCCCGATTTGAGGGCAGCTGTTGACATCGTTCCCTCCAGTTTAGGGGACAGATGGACACGAATGTTTCTTCTATGATTCTTTCTCCTCTAGGTTCTGTTTTTCTGTGAATTCTTCTAGAAACCTGAGCAGGGCCTTTGCGTTTCTGAACCTCCATTTTCTGCTTTTTTATTTACTTGGGTAGTGCTTGAAGTTCCTTGGAGGACAGCCGCGGTGTTTACGTGACTCTTGTTTTATTACCGGGATTGGGCTGGCGACAGTTCCTCCTCCCAGGCAGTCGCCCCACGTGGACTGTTTATCCTCGTGGAGACGTGCGGGATCCACGAACACCGTGGGAGCCAGCCAGGGCCCCACAGGGCTGCAGATGGGCTCCGTTCACCACACTGCTCATTTTAAAAATTCTCTGCTGATTTAAAATCCACTCGCGCTTGCCGCTGTAGCTGGTCGTCTCTGAGGAGCTGAGCTGGCTCGCTTGACATTAAACAGGAAAAATAAGGAGAGAAAAAAACAGAAAGCGAGGGGAGGAGTGACAGGAGACGCCAGAGCTGCAGAGTGAGATGGAGATGGCCCAAGCCCAGCCTTATCACTCCCTATCCTTTAATTCCAATAGAAGGAGAAGGATGGGGATTTTGAAGACAGATCAGGGAAAACATTTAGCATTTGAGCAGAAGAATTTTCTAGAAGCCTGGCCAGGAAGGGGCTCTGAGCACACGGAGGGAGTTGAGTAAGAAGAATTCCCAGCTCCAAGGATCCTGAGAGCACCCTGGGGAAGACCATGCTGATTCCGTGCCTTGCGGAGAGGGAGGCGGTTTTCAGGAATGAAAAGCTGACAGGGTTATGTTGTTGCTGGTTTCCCAGCTGTAAGATGCACATAACTGTGGCTTTTCTCTCCTTCTGCATCTGCAAGGCTTCAGTAATTGATGGCCGATCAGAGTCGCTGTGCGAAGCCAGAGCCGTGAGCAGCGTTGTGGTTTCCGTCCTTCGCTCTCCTCTGCATTAAATGTGATTGGCCTTTTCCCTGGGGTTAATCCAAATTCCCCTAGGGTTAATCCAAATTATTCCAGCCTTCCTCCGTTCGGAAATCCATCCACGAAGTTCAGCCGCTCCACAGAAGGCGCCGCGAGTGCCCACGCAGCTGAACATCTTCTGGGAATAACAGGGCCAGCACCTACAAGCCAGTTCTTTGAGACAGGGTCATTGGCTGCTGACTGTGCCTGGGCTCAAGTGCCAGTAGGCTGCCAAGTCTGCCCCAGGGATCCCAAGGCTCCTGGGCGTGGGATCGCAAGACTGAGTCAGCGCTCCCCACCTTCACCTGGAGAATTGAGGGCCCAGCAAGGCCAAGACCAGGCCAAGGTCCCCAGACAGCAAGTGGCACAGGTGAGGCTGAAGGCCTCACTGGGCCTGGGCCGCTTCCCATGTGAGTGGCCTCATGCCACGGGCATGTTCTCAATCTGGGGCTCTTCTCTATGCAGGGCTTCTCCCCCTCCCCTGCCTGGCCACGTCGCAGATGTTCAGGTTTAAGCCCCAGAACAAGAGTCTAGGCATGGTCTGATTCACGGGCACATTCAGCGGTGTGGTTGCTGCCCGCAGGCCACCGGACTGGGCAGGCGAGGTGAGAACGGCACCTTCACACCTGCCAGGGAGCTGGGGCAGGCAGCAGAGGCGAGACCCACGGAACATCGCTGTATCATGGAGAACGGCTCAGATGAGGGGTCCGGCTGCTGCCGTCCCACGGTCCCGCAGACCCAGCCCCCAGTGCTGGCAAAAATGTACCCCACAGGCCTCCCCCAGGTCAGGAGCACAGGGAGCCTTCCGGAAGCGTGGCCAGGAAATGCCTGCTCCCTGGGGCCGGCTCGCTGCTCCAGAGGAAGATTCCAGGTCTGAGCTGCGCTCACCCAGTTGACTGTTCCCAAACCCACCAGTCCGCAGGTCACTCCAGCTCCCCTGAGTGGTGTGGGTAAGGGGCAGAGGAGGCCAGGGGGCATCAGTGGAGCGTCCCCCCCATGGAAGAGAATGTCCACGTGCTCGTGGAGACACGTTTCTCCTGAGAAGCCTGGAGCGGGTGGGGGTCAGCCCTGGTCCGTTAGGGGCTTCTTCACCTTCTCATACCTCTCAGCCCTCAGTGCCCTCCCAGGTTGTGCAGACGCGGGGAGGCTGCACCACTATGGACATGCAGTGCCCCCTCCCTCTCAGGGTCCCCGTGGCCGAGTCTTCCCAGCGGAACCCTGATTCCCGCCCCGCCTCGCTTGTGGGCTGGAGGGCCTGGCTCCCCTGGATGGTGGTCAGTCTTCCCTCTCTTCTCTAGTGCCACACGGTACCTGGCCAAAGCCGTCATGCTGCCTGACTCAGCTTGCTTCACTTAGTCCAGGCAAAGTGGTGGAAAAAGAAAAACTGGCCTTTTGTGGCTTTACAGTGCACATTTGACCAACGGAAGAATCAGCCCAGAAATGTACATTGATGAGTCTGCTATTTCTTGCTGGCTATCTATTGTCCTTGATGCCTATTGTATCAGCCATAGCACACAGAAGATGTCTGTGACACTGCACCTTATGTCCTAGACATTGCACCTTACCAGTGTCTTGTGGGTGTTTGGTGCCTGTTAGCAGAGAGGTTCCGGGTGCTACTGAGAGTGATGGTACAAATTCACCATCAGCAGCCCCAAGAGTCCTGCAAGACACGTTATAAACACTTTGACTAGCCCTGGGGAGATTAAGGGAGTATTACTGGAAGGCTCATCAGGATCACATCTTAAAGGGAACCAATGGGTTTTATACATTTTAAGGTATATTTGTAATCTTAGCTTTAAAATCATGTTACTGGCCAGGCGTGGTGGCTCACACCTGTAATCCCAGCACTTTGAGATGTTTGAAGCATGGAGCTCACCAGCTCCAGTCTGTACCCCCGAGAGAAGGCCCAGGGGCTGTACTGAGTCCTGGACAACACGGTGAAAACCTGTCTCTACTAAAAATACAAAAATTAGCTGGGCGTGGTGGCAGGCGCCTGTAATCCCAGCTACTCAGGAGACTAAGGCAGGAGAATCGCTTGAACCTGGGAGGTGGAGGTTGCAGTGAGTCGAGATTGTGCCATTGCACTCCAGCCTGGGTGACAGAGCAAGACTCCATCTCAAAAAAAACCCCAAAAAACAAAAAACACATTACTGATGATTTACTCACTAAGATATAAAATGCATCGTGAACTTTGTTCTACAAACAACAGAACAGCTCCCACGATGACTGCCTGATCCTCTACTGGGCTCTGAGTCCCAGGCTGCAGGGAGAGAACATTATCTTCTGAAGCACCAAAAACCCCAGGGGAGAGTTCTTCTTAGCATTAATTACGTTTGCAACTCAGCAGTTCAAATACCTGCAACCGAGGGTAGACTATTTCGGGGAAAAGTGGCTTCTTTCTGCATCCAAAATTTTGGTTTGCTAAAAGTTTCATTTATGAAACTTCTCTGGTCCCTCGTACACAGTATGAGGGAGAATGCGAATCTCCTCTCAGAAGATGCCATAAGGGTTGCTAGTGCCTTAAAGATGAGCACATGTGTACATGGTATTCCCTTCCCCAAAGCGAGCTCACCTCACCCCAAATCTAAGGAAGTACACTTCTGGGCTGTTGTGTGGAGTCCCGGGGACATGGGAGGTTTGAGGCTCCAGGCTTCATCTTGGTGAGTGATTGATTCTTACGAGTTGAGTGGAGCGAAGGGTGGAGAGGGAGGGCAGGTGGGAGTGCCGCGTTGGAAGGGCCATGTGTTTGGGCAGTGGGGGCTCTGTTCACACTACAGATTTCCAGTAACAAGAGACTCTTCCCACCAGAGGAGATTCTGAATGGTGCTGCCATTGCCAAACCTTCTGCCACCAAAGAGAGCGAAGAGGAAGAGGAGGCAGCATGTGGCCAAGACAGCCCTCGAAACGTTGGCAGGAGTGAGTACATTAGTAATGGCTAAGAACACACTTGAATCATTTGCAGCAACCCAGGACAGAGATGCCACAAGAGGGCTTCGGGGAAAGGCGAATCCACTCATGCATCTTGGAGGTTTTTTTTTTCAAGTTCAGAAAAGGAACCTTCACCAATGTCTTGGACCATGAAGCAGAGACTCCGGTGCTGACTCTTATCATTTGAGCTCCTAGGGGTACTCATGCCCATTGGAGCCTGCACACCAGTGACACCACCAACACTATCTTGGTGTCTTTCCTCTTAGAGGAGGAAGAGGACACAGAGGGGCGCCCGGTAATAACCCTCCTTTCCTCCCTTCCACCCCGCCACATCATCTCAATAGACCATGAAGGTAACTGAATGAGTATGACTCCCTCATTACCAATTGAATCCTCTGTCTCTGTTGATATTGGGCAGTTAAGCTTTTTCATGGGCTCATTCAGTATCTCGCTCTCTCCATCTCTTTCCACATGAGACTTACACTCCTCCGGCCAGATTCTGGTGCTCTGGGCATTTTTCGGAATCAAATCCTGGCATTTGGCTGAAATTAGTGCAATTAAGTTATCAGTTCCTCAAATGCCATCTATAAATTACTTTTTGTTTGTTTTAGACAATCCTTTGTTTTCAAACTGTTGCTTTGGCCCTGGAGGCAGACTCGGTGGTCCCCTGGAAAGTTGACTCTCTCCCTTCACGCTCCTCAGAGCCCCTGTGGTAAGGCAGGACCATAGGACTAGTTCCAGCCAATGAGCTTTGGGAGGAAGCCTCGGCAGAGCTTCCAGGCTAACGTACGGAAGAAGCTGTGTGCAGGATGCCAGGTCTCTTCTGCTGCCCCAAGTGCCTGAAGAGGCCACAGGTTCTCAAGACCGTGGAGGCTCTACCAGCCTGAGTCCCTTCATGACTGAGTGGAGCAGAGTCCCTGCCAACCTGGATGAGCAAGAAGCAAATGACTGCTGCATGAACCTCCTGAGATTCAGGGGCTTCTGTGTTGCAGCGTGAAGCCTAACTTGTTCTGCCTGATACAGCACCGACATGAGCGGGAAAACCATCTCATAACCCACAGCCGCCTCTCGTGTTGTCCTGAAAACCTTATGCAGGTGGACTTTGCCTGTGAAATGGGTGGGCCATTTAAAATTCATGTGAGAGGAGCTCAGTTCCGAAAGGCACTTTTCACTCAAGTTTTTTACAAATCACAAAATGTTCCCAAACTGTAACCATAGCTTCATGTGTTATTTACTAAATGTGGCTCTATTTCCCAGATTTCTTTCAAGTAACTCAAATGTTAGGATGTTGAGAGATGTAACCATTTTGCACTTTGCCTAAGTGCTATTTGAATTCTTATCTTTGGCTCAGGGTCTACTGCCCTGTTTTTAGAGTTTTGTCTCCATTTCAGGCTTTGTTGAAGTGTTCTTGCCTCTACTCACTTTCATCCTTCTTGTTTGATTGCAGGGCAGTGCTTTGTTTTAAAGCAGATTCAACCTGAATTCTTTAAAACTGCACAGAACATCTGCATCACATATATTTATTGACAAAGCTTGATTAAAGACAACCTAGGAGGGAGGTGGATTTCTGGATCAAGGATTGAAAGTAGATGGCTGGATTCCCTTATAAACATCAACTTTGACACCACTCTGTATATTCGTGGGGTCTGTGTTAGCAAAAGAAATTACCCTAGGATGTGGAGATGAAGTTTAAATGGCAATTACATGCATTAAAAATAGCCGTTTAAGGAAAGGATGATTCCTATGTAAGGAGTCGTAGCCCCTGGTTTAGTCAGAAATATTGTAGCAAGCATTTGGAGACTTCAGTTCGCTACTCAGCTTGCATAATAACGGCAAAGTCCTGTTCAGGCTCCCTAGATCTTAGCTCTGCTGTATTTCACCTAAAATTAGTCATTTCTGGCTTTCAAACTCAGGAATATTGTTGCAACTCATGAAGAAGTAAATGGGAATATTTGGAAAAATACACAGCTATGCATGTCACACGTGCATATAAGATTCCCACAAATGACTGCCCAGGCTGATTCCAGCAGAGGGGAGGAGACTGGAAATGTTCTTTGACACGCAAGTGGTTGTAAATGTTCTCTTAAAAAAATTGCAGTGTCATCCTTGGGCATGTCCTAGCCACACATTCCCAGAGTGGCAGCAGGCATCATAGGGTAGGAAGTGGCCGTCCCTGGAGCCCTGGATCCCACAGAGGACTCCTGGAGCCAGTCTTAGAAGCCCAGCCCAAAAGAAGAGCCAGATTTGATAGGACTGTCATTCAGTTCCCCAAATTACACTGACTTGTGAATCGTGGACTGCTTAGGAACAATGTGAGTGTAAAATCTCCACCCTCAAACCATGAACTCAGTAAATCATGACTCAGGCAAACTTGGGACAAGGGTGGCCCTTCTTAGAGAAGCAGTGTGTGTATATGAGTATCTGCATGTATATATGGTACATGCATATATACACACACACACATATATATGTGTACCATATATACATAGACTGTGAATGGTGGGTGTGTACAAATATGTGTACACCAGGTGTATAAATACCAAAGACCCTAAAGTCATTGCCAGCCTGCACTTCCAGAGCCCACACTCTCTCCAGGCCATCCCTGTGTTTCTTGGGTCCGGAGCAGAGCTCTGTGCGCACTCTGTGCATGATAGGTATTTGTTGTTGAGTTGTCTCATCTCAAAGAAAATTATATTTGTGTATATTCCTTTGTAGTTACCTGAGTTATCTAAGCTGCAGTGAATAGTCCTCTACAGCCCCAGTGCTGTCGTAACATGGAGTGGGATTCCACCCCTCACAGGCTGGTGGCCGCATTTGTAAATGACTGCTCTGATGCTCTGATACTCAGTGCGTTCATTACAGATTTCTTAACATGAAGTGAGCACCTGCTCCGTGTTCTCCCCCTTGCAGGGCAGGTAGTACCAGCCCATTTTGTAGATGAGAAATGGATTGCCAAGGATGATATGTAAGTGCAAGAACCCACCTGTCGGCGAGGGCGCCTGGCTTGCTGGAGAGAAGTGCTGCCTGGGTGGAGGCGCCCAGCCCGGCCTGTGCTTTCCCAGAGGTCCCAGGGAGGGCAAATGCGCCAAGGGGAGCCTGCTCCCAGCGCTTAGTTTTTAAGGAGAGCTGCATGGAGGATACATTCTTAAAGACATCCCTGGAAAGTGAGATTCACCTGGGGCAGTGGAACATCCAGAGCAAAGTCCTGCACTGGCCTCTGCACACGGCCAGGGAGGTGACAGCACCAGGGATGTCAGGAGCCCGTTGGGCTGGGGTCAGCCAGGCCACCTGCCATGCTTGTGGCCACTCCAGGCTGTATCCCCACAGACGCTGACCGCCGCTCTGTGCAGGACCGGCACAGCAAGAGCTCACCTCGGCCTGGGCAGGGCAGGCACCCTCCAGAGCCTGGGCGAAAGTCCGGCCCCTCCCCATCAGGTCTGAAGGCGTCCTCAGCTTAGGAGGTGGCCACTGAGAGCTCGCGATTGCACCAGGCTTGTAAAAAAGACGGAACGCATTCTGTAGCCACAATCCAGGTGAACCTTCCCCACTTAGGATTTTTGTTCCAGAAGCATGACCAGAAATGTGTGTGCACGTGTGTGGCTAACTCTCATTCATGTCATTTGCTAGTTCTGGAGAAAAAATTCACTGTTTAGGAAAATACAGAATATTCAAAAACACGTTGAAAATAAAAACAAATGCCGTAAGACTTGTTGGAACATGCTACAGTTTATAAACATGGGGTTTTATTGCAGGAGTGTCGAATTTTTAAAAATTGAGTAATCATGAGTATATTTCTGTATCTCTTTACTTGATCCGTGAGGCTGCGAGTCTTCTGGGGCAGGGGGATTAGTCTCTAAGCTCTCACATCAAAGACAGCCTGAGAAGGCTGTGGGGGATCTGTTCTCCCAGGGTCTGCCCTTCCCGGACTGAAGTTGTTCCACCCACCGTCATCACAAACAGCATGAGACACTTGACTCCTTCAAGTTCTCAGATGCCACGGCGTGTTCTCACCTGCACCCCGGGACCTTGCCGGCTATTCGTGGGCTGATAAGAATCCGTGCACTTTCACTGCCGTTCTCGGATCCCCCGAGGTTCGGCGCGGCCCGGCTCTCAGTTCTGCAGTTCACGCCACTTTTAGAAGGAGGACGCTGATTACATTTGTGGATCATGGCATTCACAGTCTGATCTCAAAAATGAAATGTCAGGAATTGCAGCCTTTTGTTCGAGTCTGATGCAGGAGATCTCCAACACGTTTTCCAGAGCTGTCCCCAGCTCCAGGTGCTCTTAGGATCGTCGAGGCCACCTTGACCCTATCGGGAGCAGTCGGACTCCTGGTAAACCTCTCTCAGTGGAGGGCAGAGCTGTGCTTGTCAACGGCCTCTGGGCCCCGTGCCCTCACTGCACCCGGTGGAGATGATTGGCCAAGCACCTGTGTGTCTCCTCAAAAGGAACCTGGGGATTGGCTGGCGTGGACCTTTCCTTGTGCTGGTCTGCATTTCGGCCTGGACTTGTGTGTCTCTCTGTGCTGTCCTGAGGCCTGCAGGCTCCCAGGTGTCTGTGTTTCAGTGTAGGGGGAGCTGGAGGGTGAGAGGAGAGTCTGGCAAACATCCTTCCCCTGGCAGATCTAGGAGGCATGCGAACAGGGGAACGGCTTCCCCCAGGAGGAGGCCGAGGTCCTGAAAGGCAGGTGGGGGCCTCAAGACAAGAAAGCATGGAGGTTCGAGGGTCAGGGGTCAGCCTCGGCTGGCTGACAGCACCCTCACTCTGGGAGCTGGAAGCTGGGAAGACAGAGGCCTGCACATTTTCCAGGCTTGAGTCCAAAAGCCCTGCTGTTCTCCGTGTCTCTGCTGCCTCACTGCCTTCCTCTGTTTGCCCCTAGAGACCCAAGCGCTGGGTCTGCGGAGTCCGCGGGGATGTCTTTCTGTGTGAATGAGCAGCCACTGAGTGTGGGAGGATATTGGGCTCTGCAGGACAAGCTATATTTATGCACCTGCCCAAGACAGGACCCCAAGCGGGACCACTGAAATTTCGCCCTGGAGCTTGTTCGTGGAGCCGCTGACCACTCATCCCTTCCTCTTCAGCTCGCGCTTGCTGCTGAGCCATGCGGGTTCTGTGTTCTGTTATGTGCGGGTGTGTGGACCGGACCCGCCTGCAGCAGCCACTCCCACCTGCCGTTGAGTCCCTGACTCTACATGGGCTGAGCCGGGCAACCAGCAGAAGGGTGAGTCCTCCCCCAGGACTCAGTCGATGAGACTCCGGCTAACCCCACGGTGGAACACAGACACCTGAGAGCCCGCACGCCTCAGGACAGAGAGAAACAGAGGTCCAGGTGGAAATGCAGAGTGGCATGAGGAGGGGGCCATGGCCCGGGTGCATGTGCGCTGCGCCACGTGTTACACGTGAGGAGAAGACACACAGGTGCTTTGCCAGTCACCAACCAGGACCTTCCCCAGTCACCTGTCCAGCCTGGGCTGTTCACTCACCCTGTCCTGCCCCTGAAATTTACTTTTTCCCTCTAATATGCCTTTTTGTTTGTTTGTCTGTTTTGTTTTGTGTGTGTGGGTTTTTTTTTTTTTTTTTTTTTTTGAGGTGGAGTCTTGCTCTGTCACCCAGGCTGCAGTACAGTACAGTGGCACGATCTCGGCTCACTACAACCTCTGCCTCCCAGATTCAAGCAATTCTCCTGCCTCAGCCCCCCAGTAGCTAGATCTGCAGGTACTGCCACCTCGCCCAGCTAGTTTTTTGTATTTTAGTAGAGACAGGGTTACACTGTGTTGCCCAGGCTGGTCTTGAACTCCTGAAATCAAGGAATCCGCCTGCCTCAGCCTCCCAAAGTGCTAGGATTACAGGGGTGAGCCGCCGCACTCGGCCTTCTAATATGTTTTTTTCAGTCACCACTACAGGCCTCCACTAGCTGATTTTACCTTAACTGAGGTAAAGTCGTCAACACTTAGTGTTTGCTAGTTGGTTTCTTAATATGGTGTGTTTCTCAACAGAGCTCCGTTTTATTCATGTGGTGCAGAAGTTTGAGAAACTGAAATAGGCTAAAAGTAACTGAGTCCAGAGCCTGGGGAGCAAAAGGCCTGTCCCTGTTGCAGAAAGGCCTGGTTAACCACGCTCCCAGCTGCTCTGCCAGAAACTCCAACTCTGCAGGCCTAAAAGCACCTCTGCCACACCTTCAGCTGAAATCGGGGTTCCCAGAGATTTGTGGGACCCGGCATTGAACTATAGTAGGATTCCTGCCACTCCTTAGGTTTTTGCATTCTTCTGAATATAGGTGAATAGATGCAAAAAATTTCAAAAGTAGCGTATTTTATCAGAGGCATTTGAAAAAAAAGACTGCCCACTGAAGTAGATTTAAGTAGAATTACTCTTGTAAACAGTTTCACATTTTAAAAACGGCCTATTTTTTCAGGATTAATTTGAAGAACTAAAAACCGGCCTTAGTTACAGATATGGCTTATCGTCAGTGTTGTTTAATTATTCAGAACAGTTTTATATCCCCCATGTAAAATGCGTTCAAGGGAGACAGTCCCAGAATCATTCTGCCACACTTTCCAGGCTCTGCACTCCCCAGAAGCACAGCCTGTGCCTCGCCACTCTAAAAACAGGCCCCGGAGCCTGGACACCTGGGTTTAATTCCCAGGGCTTTGTTCCTCCGCTCTCTGCGCAGAGTGGCTTCCTGCCTCTCAAAGCCTCCGCGTGCTCAGGCTCAGAACATGGAACAGGGGAGCACTGATTGCGTGAGATGGTTGAGAGCCTTCAGCCGAATCCCAGACATACAGTGTGGCGCCCGGCACTCAGGAAGCGCCGAGCGCCGACAGCCATTGTTCGCAGCTTCTGGCACATTCGCTGTCCCATCAAAAGTGTGGAAGTGCCGACCCCCGGCCTCTGCAGCAGCCTGCACCCGGCTGAGCCTGCCCTTCTGAAGTCCTGGACCCTGGTGACCTTTCTGACGCCTGGTCCTCCTGCTAGCAGGGGGTGGTGCTCATGAGCCCTCCCTTGATATCCCCTGGTGTCAGTTCTCCCCGGCCCTGCCTCTCCTATGAGATACCTTCTTCCCAGCCTCCCCCTCCGCTTGCCCCTAAGTATCTGCCTCCTCCAGTTCTGCCATGGATGGAGGTGTAGATCAGGAATCTGAGCCCATCTTTGGAATCCAGAGGCCTGGGTTCAAATCCTAGCAAAGCAAGTATCTCAACCTCTGTGCCCATTCCTCCGCACTCCCAGGGGAGAATAAAGTTGGCCTCAGTCTGGAGAATCGGCCTCCGAAGCCCCCACCCTCTTCTGGGGTTCCCGGCATGTCCCTTTGCTGAATGGACTTGCCCTTCACGGTGTCCTGAGGACTCCAGCAGCTCCACGTGGCTGACACAGGTCTTGTTGCCCCCGAGATAACTCCTCCTCTCTAGATCTGAGTCTAGCTTCTGGGTCAGGATGCACCCAGCCACCCAAGCGGGACCCCTCAGCCGCCCCTCGCCACTCCCACACTCAGTGGGTCACTGTGTCTGGTGGGTGGCCCCTTGCCGCCCTGCCTGCACAGCTGCTGTCTCCGTGTGGTCCTGGCCTCCCTCTGGGCCACTGGGGGAGCCGCCCTGCCCAGGCCCCACTTTGGGGTCAGTCCCTTGCCAGCCAGAGCTGTCTCTGACAGGCAGATCTGATGGTGTCTGTGGACCCCCGAACCTTTCCCAGCCTCCCTGTCGCCTTGGGGAGTCCTGCCAATTCCTGCCCCCTCCCCAGAGTCAATGCTCTCTTTATCCCCAACTCCCTCTCCCCACCCTCCTGGCTGTGCCTCCCATCTCTGCCTGTGCCCACGAGGCCCTTCCATCCCTCTCAACCGGGACTGACCTCCTTGAAGACCTGGCTGCAATCCCGAATTCTGTGACGAGCTCTCCAAACCCTCAGAAACATAACTGTCACCTTCGCTGTATGTTTATTGTGGACCTTGTAATCTCTTTATTGGAATAAAACTTTTGCAGTCATCACCTATATTTATACTATATTTATATTTTAGAACAAGACTGTTGCAGACCTGAATGTACTTTTATTATACCTTTACTAGTACAGTTTTGTGATAGTGATTTGTTCCGCTGCTTGTCTCCCCAAATGAACTGTGAGCTGGCTAAGGAAGGGGCCTCGTCCTACTCGTCTTCATGTGCCTGCGTTGGGCAGAGTGCCCTACACCAGCAGCCCTTATGTCCATACTTTTGTTAGCTGCTGCTGCTGCTGTCGCTGGGAGGCCTGTGTCTTCAGAAATTCATGTGTTCTGTGAAAAGACATTTGTAAAGTTCATGCCCCGGGTTTGGACCAGTGTATAAGTGCTGTGGATACAAAAGGTATTTCCAGCCCAGGGTTTAGTTGACCTGCATATTCTGGGGGAGATTCTGCACCTGCTTGGTGAGTATGTCAGGCCCTTCCTCACCTTCCTGTGGCCCCAGTCTCTCTGTGTCTGAAAAGGCACTGCTTGGCCAGATGGCCTCCAGAGGGGCGTCCAGCACCACCAGCTGGAAACGGGGACCGCAGGGCAATTTGTGTTCCACCTTCTTCCACTCTTGCGTTTTATTTGGAGACTGAATTTGGTGGCATCTGGAGAAGTTAAGGGGTTCCGGGACTTGGAGGCCCCAGGTACTGGGAGAGGTGGAATACTCTCCTGCCATCTGGCTTCTCGTGGCCGGCCAGCCCTCGCTATCTCTGAAAGTTGGGAGGGGTCCC